CCTTCACTCTCTATCACCTGCACAGGGACCCTGCCTCTTCCTCCTCCTCCGCTAGATCGGGAACCTTCAAGTAGTGTCCTCAGCTCAGGCCTAGAGGGCTGCAGCGTGTGCGAACAGGAGGGGCCCTGAGCCAAGGACCAAAGATGGGTGGGACAGCTGCAGGATTTGCAGGGCCCGGTCTGAAAGCAAAGTGCAGGGCCCTTGCTCCCCACTCTGAGGGGCTGTCAAGAGCAGCATCAGGGGCCGGGGAGATAGCTCAGTAGAATCAACACTTACCTGCAAGCGCAAGGGCCCGAAATCACCAGTTCCACCAAAAAAAAAAAAAAGTGGCATCAGACCAGCAAGCCACGCCTGGGGCCCCTCGAGACCACACATCTACACATCCTACCCCACAGCAACAAAGGAAGAGAGGAGAGACGGGCAGGAAAGGGAGTGGGTAGAGGAAGAGGTTACAGATGGCGACTGACGCCTGCTGAGGTGTTTTTCTTCTCCCATTTCACTGAATGCTCGAACCATCCTTTGCAGTAAACTGAGATTTGGGCAGAAGAATCATTGACCCAGAGTCACAATTTGTAGGTGGTAGGAGCCAGGATGTAGACGCAGGCCTGTGGGGCTTCAGACCTTGTCTCATGCTGTTTGGGGAGGGGGTGGGGGATGCTGGAGTCAGCGAGGAGGTCCAGCCTGGCCAGAGCAGCTAGGCTGTGCAGAGCTGGTGTACTGCAGTGAGCCGGGATGGGATCTAAGGTGAGTAGGGGCCTCCCAGCCCACCTGGCCATTTTGCTGCAGGCCAGTGGGAAACTAGAAGAGAAGTCCTGTTCTAGGGTCCATTGGACCAGTATCTGGGCTTGAGATTAGGTTTCCCATTCATGGGCCCAGGCCGCTTTATCAGCACAACAACACTGCAGGTAAAAGTCAATGATTTAGGAAGTGACTGACTTAGGGCGCTTGGAGCTGGACTGTTAGTGCCTGAGCACATCCGTTAGGTGTCCCCTGAGGAGTCGGGGGGCTGGTGGCTCAGAGCCGCCGGGCCAGGGATCGATTGGATGCTGAAAACTCAGTGCCTGCAGAAATGATAACCGACTATCATGGGTCAGGGCCCCCATAGTGGAAATTAGCACCCCGGGTGTCAGTCAGAGCCGACCAACAGCCAGATCCCTTCAGTGCGCCCAGCCAACCCAGCAGCGGGACGATTAACCATTAACCCCCACCCTCCCTGCGGAGCCTCCACCCCTGCGCCCAGGCTCCCAGAAGACACTTTGAAAGGAAAGGAGGCAGAGAAGGGACCTGGGAGGAGGCAGGGGGAGGGTGGAGGGCGGGGGCTGGGGCTCGGCCCAGAAGCTCTAGGGTGGGCATTGCAGGCAGGGTGGGGGCAAGGTGTTGAGGCAAGGGAGAATGCGCCTCTCCAAAACCCTGGTCGACATGGACATGGCTGACTACAGTGCCGCGCTGGACCCAGCCTATACCACCCTGGAATTCGAGAATGTGCAGGTGTTGGCCATGGGCAATGGTAGGTGGGGGCAGGTATACCAGTGGGAACAGGTGTGCCCAGGTGTGGGTGCGGATCTTTGGCCCTTGTCTTTGGGGTGGGAGGAGAATGACCAAAAATGGTAGGTTGGTCCTGTAGGTGAGCACAGGTGTTGACAGGGGGAGCAAATGTGGCCAGGGACAGCCACCAGGGGCATTCTGGGTTTCCAGCAAAAGTAGATCCCACGGATCCCCCAGGCCCTTCCACAATCCCTGTGACCTCACCACTGTCCTGCGCCTGTGTGTCACTGGCAACAGAGACCTGATAGTGAGCTGCCTCTGGGCACTGGGTGCCAGCGATTCAGCCCAACACAGTCCCCTCTTGGGCTCAGGTCAGAGAGCCGGGAAGTTTCATCCTGTCCCTGGTGACCGCGGTGCTACAGGCATAACTGCATTTGGGACTTTCTTGGGGAACTGGCGGTTGGGGAAAATGGAGTTCCCAGGGCAGATTTGCTCTTGAAGGAGCTGTGTGTACTGTGTGTGAGATCTGGTGTGTGCTCCTGAGTTTCTACGTAGATGTAGGAGCGGGGTGCTAGACTGCATGGGGAACCATGTGCCTGGGGACTCCATTTGCTTATTTGTGGTCATTTGTGTATTTGTGTTCTGTGTCCACTTCCATTTCTACTTCTCCATAGAATGGACCTGTGCTTGTGTCCCCAGGGGTACCTGTATTTGTTCAGCTTGTGTGTATAAGTGATGTATGCGTATATGTGTGCCTGCGGGTATTCGTGTACGTGTGCTACCTATGCAGGTCACTGACTGGAAATAACTATGGATGGGGACGCGTCGATGCACCCTGTGCTTTCTGTGTATATGTCCTGTGTACATTACGTGTGTGCCGCTTTCAGACCTGCGTGCATGCCCTCTGTGCACTCAGAGCGAGAGGTTTTGATATTACCAGTTACCAATCGAGATTCACATCAGGAACATATCTGCCTCTGACCAGGTTTTGTTACTTTGCGGGTCTCCCCAGCTTACATCCTCACTCCAACATCCCCAATGCATCTGTCCTCCTCTGCAAGGAGGTGGAGGACAGGAAGGGGCCCGGGAGCATGGGACCTCCTAGAGAAAAGCTCAGTGGGTTCAGGCCAGCCTCAGAGAAGAGGTGGCGGCTGGCCGAGGTCAGCCTCTCGCTCTCCTGACACAGCTCTGAGCCACACGGCTGCGGCTTGACTCTGTTCTGGAAAGCTCACAGTCAGGAGAGGAAGAAAGAGGAGTAGCTGCTGAGGAAAGGCCTCTGGTTGGTCCCCCCAGGTGCTCCTCTGTCCTTGCTATCCCTGTACTATGTGACCTTGGGCTCCTGTCTTGGCCTCTTTATCTGCTAAAAACCTGAGCTCCTTCTCCCGGGAGCAGTTGGCCAGCTGGCTTCTGGAGGACCTGAGGGTCACATGAGGGGCTCGGGGGAAAACACACCGGAAATGGCAGATGAGTTACTGCTGCATTTGGCAGGGTGTCCTGTGACCCCCACAGTGACAATATGTACTGTCACACTCCTGGCCACAAGAGAGCTCCAGAATCGTGGCTTCCTGGAGCAGAGGCCAGGCCCCTTGGCTAGATGTCTCAAAGACATGATGCCCCTACTCTGGAGCCAGAAAGATCCTTCCTGCCTGGGTGAATCTGGCAAGCCATTTTCCTTCCTCAGCCTCAGTTTCCTTATCTCTAAAGTGGGGATAAGTAGCAGCACCTGCTTCCCAGGGCCAGCCAGAGGACAACATAAGATAAGGTTCTGAGTGCTGAGTCTAGTGACTAGGTCTGCACCCCCCTCCCCTCCACTGGAATTCACAATGATTCCCCAATCATTGTGCTGGGGTTATATGAGGTTGTCCTCCAAAGACTTCTGGGTACATCTTGAGCTGGTGGCTCAAAGGACATCTCCCCACCCATGGATAGCTCCTCACCCATCCCCCACCCCACTGCAGGAGCAACAGCAGGAAGTCCTAGCTTCTTCAGCTCGGAGGGACACCCCTGCCTGCCTGGGCTGTGTGGTAGGAGCAGCAGTCTCTCACATCCAGCCCAGTCCTTCTACTTAGCAGTGTGACAGTGCTGGACAGGTCATTGTCCTCTCTGGTCCTCACTCTTCTCACCTGGAGAATGGGGGTGGCTGACTGACCTCAGGGGGAAGATGATCCACCCCTCCGTACCCAGCCACTCCTTCCCCAGCCTCTTGCTGAGTGGCAGGAAGGTGTGGGGTCGGCTCTTGCCTGGGGTTGGGGGAGGGGAAACGTGGAGAAAGGGCACCGATGCAGCTTAACAATTACCCCTGTGTCCAGGAATAATTCACCAGGTGGAGGAGGCCGCCCTCCTGGGCACACTGGGAGGCCCAGGAGATGTTCAGCTGGGCAGCAGCAGAAGCGAGGTGTGGGCTGCCAGTCAGCTGCTCTGGGAGCCTGCTTCTGCAGCGCAGTGTTCCTTCCACAAATGGGATGCTTACTGCGTGCCAGGCACTTCACACGCATCGATTCGCTGAGTTCCTCAGAGCAGCCCCAAGGGATTACAATATGCCCTGTTTTAGAATCAAGGAAACAAAGGCATGAGAAATAAACTACCCTGGCCAATGTCACGTGACCGAGTAGGGCCAGCTAGGACCTGATTCCGGGCTAAAGAGCTGCACAATCTGTGTTCCTCTTAGCTGGACATCCCCTTAGGAATCCAAGGCTGGATTCAGAGTTTCTATGGAAACACAAGTATGTGAACTCTGGTGCGCACACGCACGCATTTTTCAGCAGGGGGGAAGAGTCTGTCCTTGGCGGACAGTTTGCTTACAGAAAAGAGGACTCAACTGCTGAGATTTTTTTTTTTTTTTTTTTCAACTGCTGAGGTTTTTTTAAAAAATCTGCAGACTGGTCATTTGACTTAGACAAGCTGGAAGTAAAGAAAAGGCACTTAGCCAAGGTCACCAGTAGCTTCATGACAGCACTCACACAAGGACCCCGGACCCCTGGCACCCAAGCTGAGCTCCCCTTTGTGGTGACTTCCAATCTCCCTCTCCTTACATTTACATAGGTGTGGATGTCACACCCCTGGGCGGGGAGGCCTTGGAGGGCTGCCCAGGCCTTGGCCATGCCGCCCCCCAACCCCAGGAGAGGAGTGCATTTTCTCAGTGCAAGTTTTCCCTGCACCCTGCTAGCAGGGCATGGGCACAACCTGAGGTTCACCCAGCTCTGTCACTCAAGAAGAGGGACAGCCCCTGATTCTGGGAAACTGGGGAATATTCATCTTTCTATGGCACCCTGGGTCTAGCTATGAGTCTAGAAGGGCCGAATGCACCTGGAAATGGCCAGACATTTGCTCCTGCATCCTCCTGAGGGAGGAGCAGGCCCTTTATAGGTGTGAAACTGAGGTTCCAAAAGACCAAGTGACTTTCCCAAGGTCACAGCGCAGAGATGGCCCCAGGTTTGGTGCAGATCCCCCAAGGCCACTGGTTTCTGACTTCCCGCCCTTCCTGGGTCCCCTAACTCACTTCTCTCCTGGCACAGACACATCTCCATCAGAAGGTGCCAACCTCAACGCACCCAATAGCCTGGGCGTCAGTGCCCTCTGTGCCATCTGTGGGGACCGGGCCACGGGCAAGCACTATGGCGCCTCAAGCTGTGATGGCTGCAAAGGCTTCTTTCGGAGGAGTGTGAGGAAAAACCACATGTACTCCTGCAGGTGAGAATCCCCACTCAGGCCTGTATTTCTTCAGCTAGAAAATGGGTATCTTCTTCCTTGGCGGGTCCTGGAGGCATCCGCCCTTCATAGTCTTCCAGATTCCTCTGGTTTCTTAGGCCTTGTGGATCTGGGTGAGAACATGTACTCAAGCAGCCCTATTTTCTTACCCTAAAAAGCATAGAACTCATCCTCCAACCTGACCCTTTTACCAGGAGACAAATAGGAGACTGGCCCCCAGCCTTTCCTTCTACTCCAAGGCCTTTTGGAAACTCCTCTTTCAAAAGCATCTACTGTTTTGGATACAAACAATAAAATCTTACAGCTGTCAGTTATGAGCACTGGCCAAGTGTAGATCCTGTACAAGCCCCATCTACGCATTATCTCATTGTCACCTGTCAGTCCCCCATGGAGTTGGTTTCTGCTATCATTCCCATTTAATGGTTGAGAAAGCTGTTGCTTGGAGGGCTAGGATTTTCCCCAGGCTCCCCCAAAACCACCATGCATTACCACCTCTACCTTAATCTCTAACCCCGGCCCAGGGTCTGTATGGACCAAGGATTGACTTGAGGCCAAGACCAGGGCCTACCTGCACACTTATAGGATGTGGTAGCATAGCTCTGGCACTTAGGAGACTGAAGCTCCCAACTCAGCTCTGCCGATAGCCAGCTGAGTAACCAGCATCATCTGCCATTGCTTTCTCTGTGTTTGGCAGGGTAGACTGGACTCTCAGGGAGTCCCTAGGACCCTGCAGCTCCTAACCAGGGTCTGCATGGGGACTCCTGGGGTGCAGAGATGGAGCAAGGAGACTAGGGCTCAATCTCATTTGTCTTAAGAGAAGGGGCTGGGTCTGCTCCACCCAACCATCTAAAGCCCTCCGCAGATTCAGCCGGCAGTGTGTGGTGGACAAAGACAAGAGGAACCAGTGCCGCTACTGCAGGCTCAAGAAGTGCTTCCGGGCTGGCATGAAAAAGGAAGGTAAGCTCAGCCCTCCCCATAACCCCACTGCCCCACCTGTGCCAACTGGGAGATCCACGTCTTTTTACAACTGTAGCCACACTTTATGGCTGGGTGACAGGCCCCAGGGTGACTGGCTAATGGCTGAGAAGAGGGAGGGCCTGGGGATCTGACCACAGGGAGCGGCTGGGGTTGGTCTTGAGAAAGATTCAGAGATAAGCTCCCACTGAGCTACTCAGGCTCCCAGCAACTGCCACCCGGCTTTCCGGTGCCACCCAGGGCAGCCAAGTGTGTGCTGTCCCTTAATCTAGTATTTCTAACATTTGGAAAAGCAGCGCGTGTGACATCCCAGCCCACCCAGACTCCCCTGAGATGCACAGTGGGGACTTTGTTCCTGAGTTTCTTGTCCAGGGACAAGAGCCTCAGCCCCATAGTTCTCCTTCTTGGGTACTGGGTGACCTCCAGGATTTTCCCAGTGTAGACAATGGGAACAAGGTCAGACATTGACCCCAGATGGAGGGGACAGGGATGGCAGAGAACAGTATCCATTAAGGGTTTTCCAGGCATCCTGCTATAAGCAGGTGCCAGTCACTGGGCTGGGCTCTCTCGCTTTTGGGTGTCATGACTGCTCCATGTGGCTGGATGCCACTTTTCATGGGTGAGGAAACTGAGGCCCACAGGAGCTACACACCTGCTGGAGGCCCCATGTTCTGTTAGTGGAAGAGCTGATGTTCAAACCCAGGCTCTATGATACTTGGACAGTGCTTCACCACCACAGATCTTGTACCCTCCAGACTCTGAGAAAATTTAAAGATTGTTTTCAACCCAAGCTAAGAGAGCAAAAATCTTTTAACCACTTTTCAAAGTTAAGAAGTTTATTTGTAAATCTCTTTAATTTCTTCTTCTCAACTTTCCTTCTCCAGCTCTGGGACAACCCCAGGCCTGTAATTCTAGCCCACCGTTATGCCTTACTAGCCAAGCCCCCAGGCTAATCCTATACATGGGCGGGCACACACACACACACACACACACACACCCCAACCTAACAGAAACTCAGGAACTCAGCCCCACCCAGGCCACCTAAGGAGAGGGAACATGATCCTAACACCTGCCTTGTCCCCTGTCTCTTGTCCCCTGTCCCCTGCCCCTGAGTCTCTGTTTTCTTTGCTCCCTTACTCAGAAACATCTATGTCTCATCCCTACAGGCCTTAGGTTGAGCTGGAGGGTTTTGTTAGAAAAATCAGGGCCTGAAGACTTTGCTTTAAAGAGACCTCAGTGGGCTGGGGAGATGGCTCAGTGGAATAAGCGCTTGTCTGGCAAGCACAGGGGCCTGAGTTTAATCCCCGGTTCCGCCAAAATAAAAAATAAAGAGACCTCAGTGGTTCTCCAGTGGAGGGGATTTTTCCTCCTCCCCTGCTTATCCAAGTTTTCCATGGGGCTGAGATTCCCACACCCACTCTCTCCTCCAAGCTGAGGACCACTTTGTGGCATGGCAAGTGTTGTGAGTGGAAATGTGGTGCATTTTTAAGACTACCAGAGACAAGACTGAGAACTGCAGTGTAAGGTCCTAATGTCCATGATTCTAGCATCCCAAAAATGTAGGATTTTAGGTGCTGCGATTGTCCAGAGAGGATGTTCATAAGGCACTGTTTGAGAGGCTGAATCTCCCTCATATAGAAACATCAGCATGTGGAAGAGAGGTAGCAGCAGGTGGTTAACTATCTAGGATTCCTGTGGCCTGGCCCTGCATAGTGACAGTCCTTGTTAAATGTCCAGAGGGAAGTCTCCATTCCCTCTGTGTTCCAGTTTTCCTATCTACAAAGTGAAGTGGGTATATAATGATTCACAGAGCTAGAGACTCCAGGTCCCAGATCCTAGGGTGAAGCGAGGAGTCCTAGACCATTCAGCCCTAGCTTGACCTTGAAAACAGATTCCTGTCTCTTAAGCCAAGAAAAGGGATGTTCTACCAGGAGAGCAGCAGATCCCCTGGTGGCGAGTAGAGTGGGCTGGTAAACACTGGGGCTTATTTTCATGCCTGTTTTACCAGAGGACAATGGTACGTGCTAGCTTTGAAACTGGGTCACAATAGCGCAGTGTTCCATGGCCCCTGCTGCCGAGCCTTGGAAAGCGGGGTTTTGCTAACTCCACTGTTCAAGTCTGCCAGTCCCCAGCATCTGCTCAGCCTGATGGGAACAAGTGAGAGTCTGTAGAAGCCACACTGACTAGAAGAGTTGAGACACATTTTCATTTCTTTCCCTTAATGGTGAATCCCACCAGAAGATTTGAGGACTGGAATCTAAAAGTGGTTGTTGAAGATCAGAAAGTGTGAGCTGCTGACTGTGGCCCTTTCATTCCCCACCTCCCCCAGCACCCAGCTGGGTCTAGAAGTCATCAAGTCTAAGCCCCACCCCACTTCACAGGTAGGAGTGGAGCGGAGTCAGTTCTAGAACCCAGACCCCTCAGAGCTGAGCAGGCAGCAAGCTCCCTGGAGTAAAACTTGTGGGGATTCCTTTGAGAGGCATGTTCTGGCCTTGATTCCGAAATTCCTCTCCACTTCCATGAGGGCTTCAAATTCCACTGGCTGGTCTGCTGTGGTCAGAGGATATCCCTGCTGTGACTGGAATGACTTTCTCTGGATGGCAAAGACTACTGAGCAAGAAGCCCAAGAGCCTGGGAAACTATAGCAGGTGGAGAATTCTGTCCTGTAACTCAGGACAGGGAGATGGATGCCTGCCTGGCCTCATTATCAAGCCCATAACAAATATCCAGATTGTAGCATCGGAAGCCCAGAGGATTCAGGAGAGGCGGGTTGGTGACAGGCCAGGACTGTCTAATGAGCCCTTCCTTGGAAGCCTGGCTGAGCACTCCAGACTTCACTGGGGTCCTCTAGGAAAACAGGCTCATCTCTCTGTGCCTCTGGCTGCGTCAGTTAATATTCAATGGAAGTTACATTAGGTCCCCGACCCTGCTAATACTGAGCAAACACTTGGAAAACATCATTCCGTGACTGAGCTCTCCCTGGGCACTGATAAGGCCAGCAACCTTGAGGAGCCCTATCCGCAGCTGCTGACTGTGGCCCTTTCATTCCCTGCCTCCTCCGGCGCCCTGCTGGGTGCGGCTGCTGCCAGGGAGGGGTGCGGTGGGCTGGGCAGGGGAGCAGTGAAGGGAGCTTCCCTGCCTGGCATCTCTACTGTACCCCACTGACTTTTATGCTTAGCTTTTAACAATGTATTGAATTAACAGGAAGTTGAACAGCTGGGTGTCAGCATTCCATGGAGAACATGGGTGTTGGTGAGGCAAGAGTGAGCAGGGCCTCATCAGTGCCTCCTGTGCCCCAGGCTATGTTAGGTTCCAGGGTGACAGCAGTAAGCCAGAGTGCTCTTTCTGGCTGTCTGGAGTTTCCTGTGTCACAGAGATAAAAGCACTAAGAAATTAACGAATAACTCCACAATAGGTTTCTTGAAGAAAGATAAAGCAGAACAAAGGGGCAGAGTCTGAAAGAGGGGCTGCTCTGGCAGAGCAGGGGAGGAGAAGCTGTCTGACAAAGTGGCATTCTGTGGTGACATGAGGAAGGGGAATTAAGCCCTGCAGAAAGGAGACTCCAGGCAGCAGGCACAGCAGAAGCAAAGGCTCTGAGGTGGAATGTGGCTTCTTAGGAAAGAAGCCATTTGGGCAGGGATGGAGTGACTGAGTGGATGTTGATACAAAGGGGGTGGTGAGAGGCAGAGAGGACAAGCTCCAAGGTGTATCTGGAGGGTCCTTCTGTCTACTGAGAAGAGCTCAGCCCAAAGGGTCAAGGTCAGACGCCAGAGACCCCTGTGGAGGTGGCCCTCATCTTGGGTTCCTCCCTTTTGCCCCTTTCCACCAGGGGGCGCCTGGCAGGCTGACCAAGGGGATACTGGGCCCATTTTGTAAGGATTAATGAAGACAGGTGGGGTGTAAGCCAATGTGGAGAGGGGAGCGATTGCACCAAGACTCAGGCTTGGCTGGAGGGACTAGGATAATCCACCTTCGGGTCCTGGGATGAGAGGGAACAGAGGGAGCAGGCTGAGGAGAAAGCTCTGGGTGGGGAAAGGGAGGCCCCAAGAAGGTACTATTCCACCAGCATAGAATGAGGGGCAAATTCCTGGAAGGAGTCCTGCTTTCTGCAGCCTTCTCCTCCCTCCTTCCTCTCAGCAAAATCCTAGTTTCCCAATGTAGCCTTGTAGATGCCTGGGGTGGGCCAGATGGTGGAAAGGCTGTCTGATATCTTGGGCCTGGATTCAGATGGGGATGGATGCTGAGTTTGGGGTCTGCGGGGCCAGAGGCCCTGATTGCTGTGTTCTAAAAGAGTGGTCAGCACAGGCCAGGAGGGAGGTGGTCTCACCTTGCAGACTGGGAGGTTGAGTCAGGAATGTGGTGGACAGGCTGCCAGGCAGGTGAGTTCTCCGGGTCATCCTGTCCACAGCTTCTGCCTGGTGTTCAGGAATCCCTGGGTCAGCTCTGTGTCATCTGGAGCTGTTTCTTTTGCTTTTTTTCTTGTACATTTTCACTTAGAAAGAAACAGTCTCCTAAACACTGAGAAGAGCTCAGCCCAAAGGGTCAAGGTCAGACGCCAGAGACCCCTGTGGAGGTGGCCCTCATCTTGGGTTCCCGAAGATCTGTGACCTCGGCAGAGCCCTCTTCAGTGCTCCAGACCCTGCCTCAGCCCTCTGCTGTCATCCATGCCCCTGGGCGTGGGCCAGTCATGCCCGCAGGAGCTCCCCACTGTGAGAGGGCTGCTCTGGTGTCTAGGAAGCCCTCCTGAAGGCTGAGTTAGATTGCAGCTCCCTATTGCCTGCACACTGAGCTGGGCTCCATGCTGTGGGTGCCCCCTTGCTGTGGACACCCCAGGGTAGAGCTTTCTCCACACCTCCCCTACTCTGCTTCCCTTCCCCTCATCTCTCTCTCTCTCTCTCTCTCTCTGCCCTTTGTAGCTGTCCAGAATGAGCGGGACCGCATCAGCACACGGAGGTCCAGCTACGAGGACAGCAGCCTACCCTCCATCAACGCACTGCTGCAGGCGGAGGTCCTGTCCCAGCAGGTATGGGCCACCATCTCACCCCCATCCACCATGTCCCTCGCTTCCTCCATCCTCACCCTTTCCAGCCAGGCCCTGGAGCTGCAAAGGGAAGGGCCCTCAGATGCCACATCAGGGAAACTGAGTCTAATGTCCTAGCCAGTTCAATAGCCAAGACAGAGCTCACCCTCAGTCTGGGGTTCTCAGCACTGTCCAGTTCATCTGGCAGCTCACTCACAAGCCAAGCAGGGCTTTGCTCTCACTGAGGGCCTGAGATGAGCCCCAGGGAAGCGGAAGGTCACTGGATCCAGTTGGCAAATGGGGTTCAGCCAACCCTTTGCTATGTGACCTGAGAAGAGGGTGGTGATTTTTGCCTCACTAGTGACAAGGACTCCTGGGGCTCTAAGGGGCTGGGGGAGGAGAAGGCAGGAACAGTAACAATCCATAAGGGATTCTCCTCCTCCGTCTTGGGATCCTCCCTTCTTTCCAATGGGCTTTCTTCAGAGTTAGAAGTACACACAGGGAAACTTCCCAGGGAGCAGGCTTCCTGCCCGGGACAGAAAGTGGGAAGCTGCCACTTGCAGCACTTCTCTTGGTATCGCGCAGATCACCTCCCCTGTCTCCGGAATCAATGGTGACATTCGGGCCAAGAAGATTGCCAACATCGCAGACGTGTGTGAATCTATGAAGGAGCAGCTGCTGGTGCTGGTCGAGTGGGCCAAGTACATCCCGGCTTTCTGTGAGCTCCCGTTGGATGATCAGGTGAGGGCAGGCATGCGCAGTGGGCAATGTCAGAACATGAGGCTGCCTGAGTCCTTCCAGTCCTTCTGGGATATTATACAGTGATGGACTGGTTGACTTATTCAACAAAACACACATAACACCCATAGGTGGCCGGATTGTTTAAATTTGAAATATTAGCTCATTAAATCCTCCAGTGTTTTGTGAGGTAGATACTATTATTCTTCCCATCTTAGAGGTGAGGAAATGGATAGAGAGGGTCACTCACTTGAGGCCATAGACCTGATATCCAGTACAGGTGGGACTGGAACTAGTCAGGAAAGCTTTGAAGTTCAAAGTTCTGACTCCGCACCCCAGTGCTGCATAGCTCTCCTGGGGGATTGACAGGGACCCAGGCCCAGGGATGGGGAGATTGGCTGAAGCTCTGGCTCTAGGGCCAGTTCCCTGGGTCCCTAGCCAGGTTGCTCCTCTCTCTGACCCTCTCTGTTTTCCTATCTGCCAAATGGGAACTATCTAATTCAAAGTGCTGTTGGGAAGACTGAGGATGCACCTGGTTGTTTTTTTTTTTTGTTTGTTTGTTTGTTTTTGTTTTTTTGTTTTTTACCATTTATTAAAAAGAGGCATAAAGGGATTTTTAAAAAATGTTGTAAGGTTTACCAAAGAAATAGAGTGCAAGCCCTCAAAAGAGAGAGGAATATTCGTATTCTGAGACTGAGTGTATTTACAGCAGATTGGGGGTGGAAATCTATAGAATCTTCAGAAAGAGAGGATTTAATTTATAGATAAAAGGTGATAACTCAAAAAAAAAAAAAAAAGGGTGACAACTCTTTCTGCAGAGGAAGGGTAATGAGTCTGTGTGAAAAGAACAGGATAGTGGAATGCACATAGTGGGGCCACAGCTGGCCTCCCCAGTATTGGTTTCTCCTTTGTGCCCACCAAGATGATATAACTCAGCTTTTTCTTTCCTAAAGTACCTTCTCTGGAGCATGTCCCTGGGGAGAGGGACTAGGGAGGGGTAGCATGTCTGGGGACAGGGGAGCCCTTGAGATACTGCATGTGACAGCTCTGGCCAGAGCAGCCCTTGGCCTCCATGTACGTGCTCCCACCTGGCCAAGGACAGCTGGGCCTAGCCATCTGGCCGCATTGGAGGAAGTCCAGGAGACTGAAAGCCCGGGACACTGGCCTCTGGAAGCTTCCAGAAGACTCACAGCCAGCCAGCTGGCTCTCTGTGGAACCAGGGTCTTCCAAGCTCCTTTGGTGACAGCCTCTGGGGCCACTGTGAGGCTGGCCAGTGGTTGTCCTAGGAGAATCCTGGCTTGGCTGCTCCTCAGCTTCACCTGTGGCTGGACCAGAGACCTCTTCCCTGGATTCCTCCCTTCCTTAGGAGAATTGACAGGGCAGGGATCTTTCCCAAACTGCCTCTGCCTTCTCCCCAGCTCTTTTTGCCTTGGCCCCCGTTCCTCTGCTGGAGAGTCTGCATTAATGTTTAATCCCCCCTGTTCCTTCCCAGGGGCTTAGCAGGACAAGATACCCCCAAGCTGAGCAATTGTTAACCTCAATTTCCCACCCAAACCTCCCTGGCTGGGGCTCAGAGCATTCTCAGAGGGCAGTGATGGGTAGCCAGTAACACAGGACAATCATTAACGCCACCACCCCCTGCCTTCCCACCCCCCAGCACAACTGCCATGTCTGAGATGGACGCAGGGACCCATTCATAGTGTACAAGTAGCCCATCTTGCCCAACCTCAGAGACCTGGGAACATTGTCCTCCAAAGGACACTATAGTGAAGTGGACATTGTTGTAGAAAGCAGCTGCCAAGTTTGTGCGCATCTTGGTTCGTGGTCATCAGTCCACTGAGATCCAGAAGGCTACGTACGACTGATAAGGGATTGAGACTGGGGAGAGAAAGTGGCAGTCAAAAGCACAGAGCGAGATGGCCTCGGAGCTGGGATTGAATCTGGGTTCTTCGTCTTGAAGTTTGGGAGCTACTGGGTTGGCTGGAACTCTGCATAAGGACCTGGATGATCTGAAGTGTTTGGTCATTGACAGCCTTGCTTCCCTTTGCACTGCTTGGGGAGATTGGGTTTGCATCTCCAAGTCTCTACATTTTGTATTTTTAAGCCTTCCTCCTAAGATTCTGGCTATGGGACAATGGAAGGGGTAAGGACACATAGCTGGCCAGGAGGGGATGGATCTGGAGAGGAAAACAAGCTGTTGCCTTGTGCATTCATTCTTTCTTTGTCTCCCTCCCTTCCTCCCACCCACTCACCCATCCATCCATCCATCCATCCATCCATCCATCCATCCATCCATCTATCCATCCATCTATCCAACGAATAGGTACTGAAACTTACTATATGCCACAGTTTTTCCATACCTTATAACAGCCTCCTTAGAAAAAGCCTTTCCTGGTCTCCCAGATAACACAGTTACCCCTGTCCCATTGCCCTTTGCCATACAGACTTCTTCCGTCTTTCCTTCCCATTTCATTCCCTCTCTCCCTCCTCCCTCTCTTCCTTCCTTCCCTCCCTACTTCCCTCCCTCCCAGCACTATCACCCCTGTCCTATTTCCTTCTTTCCTACCTTATGTACTGTCACCCCACCCTGCATGAGTTCTGTAAGGTTAGAGACCTTGTCATTCTTTTTCACCCTTGTGCCCATTGTCTAGAAGTGTCTGGCACTTACTAAGTATTTGGCATGTGATAATGAAAAGAATGAAGAATCAAATGAAGGAGGGAACAGTACAACTTTAACCTTCCTCATCCATATTGCAAAAGAACTTCCACTTCCCAGCCCCACTTCACACACTAGGTGCTCTAGTCCAGCCCAACTTTAGTCCTCACGCAAGTGCTCAGGCAAATTTCACACGCAAGGCAGTGTCCTGTGTCAGTCGAGTCCTGGCCTCGGGATTCAGTCTTCATAGGCTGCTGCTCCTCCCATAGGGAAGGGCCCTGGCCACTGTCTCTGCTGAACCTGGGCCTTGGGGCAAGCCAGTTCTGAAAAATAATACCCACATCCAAATTTCTGTAATGTTCCCTCTGAATACTAGAATCATACAACGCCAAGTAGACAGATACCCTGGAGATTTCCTGGAACAGTGATTTCCCAAAATCAGTTGAACTTCTGAGTCAACTGGAAAGTTTGTTGAACACAGATCCCTGGCTGCTCCTGCTCCCCACACATCCAGAAGCAGAATCTCTGGTAGTCGAGCTTACTAATTTGTTTCCATAAATCACCTTTCATAAGTCTCTGTAACTGATACAGGGGTAGGAGTGTGATGTCCACAATTTTCAAACACATAGCTTAACAGCATATTTTGAGAATAGGATGAAAGCTTTTGAGCTTCTGCTCAAAAGAGTGCTCAGAGTATGTTGCCTACAGTTGCTCCAGGCACATGGACAAGGCCCAAGGTCCCAGGAGTGCAAGGGCAGAGTCAACAGGAGCCACCGAGCTCTGAGGGTCTCTGCTGTGCTCATTCCTTTCCAGGGGCCAAGTTTCATCAGTCATGGGAGGAAGGCAGCAGTTTTATGATACACACTTCATGGTTCAGGCAAATGGGACAGCAGGGAGCATTAAGCTGTCCCTCCTAGGACTGTTGAGTTGGCCGGAAGCAGCCTTCCCAGGGCGACAGATGCCAGACTCTGTCCCTTCTCTCTTCCAGGTGGCCCTGCTCAGAGCCCACGCGGGTGAGCACCTTCTGCTGGGAGCCACCAAGCGGTCCATGGTGTTCAAGGATGTGCTGCTCCTGGGTGAGGAGGCTGCCTGTCCCAGATGGGTCCCCATGGAGACCCATGCCCTATGCAGAGAATGCCGGAGCGAAAGCTGTCGCTGTGGTTGGATGCAGGGTGAAAGGACCAGATCAAGCGTGGCCCCGTCCTCAGGCTTACCAAAAGAGGACGCCAAAAGAGGACTCAGTTCTCAACTGGATCCTAACCCAGATGCAGGGAATTATGGATGCAAGGAATGAAATTTCCCCAGCCTTCAAGTTAGAACACAGTCAGATTTATTCCTGGGAGTGCCCATGCAGTCTACCATTCTTTCCACAGTAGGACCAAGAGGAGGCCAGGAACACACACTGTACCAGAAGCTGTGCTGTATTCATGCAGTGCAACAGTGCTATGTTGATAGCACACGCCATTATCGCAGCATTCCAGGAGGCTGAGGCAGAAGGACTGCAAGTTCCAGCCCAGCAACTTAAGTACTTAGTGAGACCCCATCTCAAAATAAAAGTAAAAAAGGGCTGGGGATATTCAAAGGCCCTGGGTTCAATCCCAGCACTAAACAAATGGTTTCTAGCTCCAGAATCAGGCCCCTTAAATTTGGTGTTTTTGTTCCTCCCTAGTGGCCCTTGAATGTTCCCAGTCTTGAGTCATGTTGGTAAAGGAATCTTGGGTGATACGAAAGGAGCCCTGAAAAGCTAAGTTTCTACTAGAAGCCAATTTCAGGCACCTTTCTTATCGGAGTCTCTGATTCGTCATCTGTGAAATGGGTGTGATGACCCCACAGGTCCTCCTGCAGGACACCAGCTGCACTGCCGCCTGCAAACCTCAGCCTGAAGTGATCAGCCGTTCTCTCTCCTTCCCAATCCACCAGGCAATGACTACATCGTCCCCCGGCACTGCCCGGAACTGGCTGAGATGAGCCGAGTGTCCATTCGCATCCTTGACGAGCTGGTGCTGCCCTTCCAGGAGCTGCAGATCGATGACAATGAGTATGCCTGCCTCAAAGCCATCATCTTCTTCGACCCAGGTACTGTTCTCATCTCCTAACTCAGTGATGGTGAGCCTTTTAGAATGTTCACTGACACAAATGGTCCACTGTGGCATGCGTGCTATAGCTTCACCACCACTGTCCAAACCTGACCCTGATACCCCCAGGCCCTCTGTTAGACTTTCTCTCCTCTCCCCATTCCATCTATTGACTTTTATATCTGCTTCTTGGGGGTTTCTAGGAATCAAACTCAAGACCTTGGATTTCCTAGGCAGTCACTATACCACTGAGCTATATCTCCAACCCTACACCTGCCTTTCAAACACAACATCCTTGTAGTCCTATCATTGTGCAAAGCCTCCTTTCACTCCCCAGTGTTGAGGTACCATGGTCCTAAAGGCTCATATCCACCCCCTCACATGTAAGAGAGGACCTACTGTGTGCTGGACACTGTCCACATACAGATCACTTTTGGTAAGAACGGCAATGAAAAAAAAAAACATGACCACTGTCTGTTCAATGCTTGCTCAAAGTTTAAAAATCTTCTGAAGATTATCTTACTCACTGAAGTAGGCATCACTATGGGCTTCATTGTTAAAATAAGGAAACTGAGGTGCAGGGTGATGATCAATTTGATCAGGGTCACAAAACCAGAAGATAAGAATGCTTTGACTTGAACTTCAAATGCTCATCCATGTGTATTGAGCTCCTTCTCAAGCCCAGGTTCTTACATTCCACACACTATTGTCCATTTCCTGGAGGGTGAGATTTCTGGTTCTGATTCTGCTGAGAGTCTGGCCTGGCATGAGGCTGGGCAGGTAGAGACCCCTCAATAACACATGTGGGATTAGTGTGGGGTTATGGTGCTGAGTCAGAGTCCCCAGCCTGCTTGGGAAGGCGGGAGACTCAGCCCAGGTCTGGTATGTAGGAAGTGCTCAAGAAAGCTTGTTGACTGACTCAGAGTACATAAACATAGGCAGTGGAGAAAGTCCATTAGAAACACAGACGAACACTTTCTGGCACTTCCTTTGTTCATAATTATTTTTATGGCAGTTGAGATTAAAGTACAAAAAGTAAAAAGTATTAGGCTAAGATGTAGGATTTACTCACTAGATTTTTTTTTTTTTTGTGTTCATTCTTTCCTTCCTGTCTCCATCCTTTCCTTGGTTATCTATTTAACAAACATTGACCATGTTTGAGTCTGTGGTGTGCTGCTCAGTTCAAATGGCAAAAGGAGACCTGTGCCTGCTCACACAGTGCTCATGGTCTCGTGGGAGAGATAATTCCAGCCTGTGTGGTCAGCAGTGATGAAGGACATGTAGGGCACGAGGACAGATAATGCGAACCTAGGCTGGTAGGGCGGAGAAGACTCCCTGGAGCAGGTGAATCTCCAATTGAATCGGAAATGACAGCAGCAGCAGGCAGGGAAAGGGAGACTGGTCATAGGCAGCAGAGGCGGTGCATGCTGGGCTTGGCTCATGGGGCCTCCACTTTGGGTCAGAAAATCAAGGTCAGCCCCATGACTCTGCCAACAACTGGCCTTATGACCTGAGGCGAGTCCTTTCCTTGTCTCATGCCTCAGTTGCTCTATGTGTTAGATGAGTATGCCCTGCTGGGTCTATTCCTGAGACCTCCACCTTCTGTCTCTTATTGCCCACTGCTGCACTTGGTATCTTAGGAAGAATCATGAGCCAAACTTGTCTTTATCCAGATCTAAGAAGGCACCACCTGTGCTCATGTGCTGTGGTTGTTGAATACTCTGAATCTCTGTTCCAGCGCTGCTGTCAAGTCCCCATGCAGCACTGGGTCACTGAGTCTCCCAGCCTGGGCCCTACCTCGGGCCCCTGCCTACCTCCCTGCCATCCCCTTCCACTGCAGATGCCAAGGGGCTGAGTGACCCAGGCAAGATCAAGCGGCTGCGCTCACAGGTCCAGGTGAGCTTGGAGGACTACATCAACGATCGCCAGTATGACTCCCGCGGCCGCTTTGGGGAGCTGCTGCTGCTGCTGCCCACGTTGCAGAGCATCACTTGGCAGATGATTGAGCAGATCCAGTTCATCAAGCTCTTTGGCATGGCCAAGATCGACAACCTGCTGCAGGAGATGCTGCTGGGAGGTCTGTAGAGCCCTGGAGGGGTGTTGGGGACATCTGTCTGGGAAATGATCCTTGTGTAGGACTGAGCTCACCTCCATGACCTCCTCTGTGTGTGGCTTTGGGCAAGTTGCCTAATCTGCCTGGCTCTGTTTCCTCATCAAAAGAATAGGGACAAGGACAGATGTCCATTAGTTCAGGCTCTGAAAGTCTAGCACATGCCAGTCACTGTTTTAAGTGCCGGAGGCTCGGCAGAGAACAAGATCTCGGCCTTCCTTCAGTGTGCGCGCGCATGTACAAGTGTATGTGGAAGGCTTACAGGAATAGACAATAGCCACGTACACAATAAAGAAGATAACTTTAGATTTTTTTAAATTTTTTATTTATTTTTAATGTATTTATACAGGGTCTACAGGGTCTCATTACACAGATTGGACTCATAGTGATTCTCCTGTTTTCAGACTCCCAAGTGCTGGGATTACAGGCACGCGCCACCACACCCAGTCTCATTTGCTGTCTCAGCACGCCCTGGGTGCAGGGCCGGCCTGGCAGGCTGGGGATCAAACCCCTAGCCCCTGTGTCTACCTAAGCAGGTGCTTTGATCTGCTGAGCTATCTGGCCGGCCCTGAACTTTAGATTTTTAAATAAACAAGCAGCATGATACAGTTTAACCAAAAAGAAGCCTCTTCGGATGAGTTGGTTAACAGAGATCTCTCTAGAGAGGTGACTTTGGTGCTGAGACCTGACGGCCACAGGGAAGTAGAAGACTTAGGCACCAAGAGGAGAACACTCCAAGCAGAATGTTCCAGGCCCTGCAGCAGGAGAAGGTTATGTATTTGAGAAGGAAGTATAAAGTTGTGAAAGGGTGGGGTTGTATGAGATGCGGACGAGATTAGGGAAAAACAAAATCATTTACCTGTGGCTTCATAGGACATGGTCAAAAAATTTAGACTTTTTCTCATTGCACCTGTCATGAAAACAATCAGACTGTTTTAAAGAAACCACTCTGATTTCTAGGTAGAGAATAAACTTCAGGGGCACAATGTAAAAGCCAGAGAGCTCTAGGAATGTTACTATTTCTAGTCATGGGAAGGGCGGGGGAGGCTTGGATCATGGGAGCAGAGCGGTGTAGACAAACTTGATTATATTCAGTGTCTGGAGGAAGAGCCCACAGAATATGCCAATGAATCAGAGGTTGGGAGTGATGAGGAGAAGAACATTCAAGGGTGAAGTCTACATTTTTGCTCTGGGCATCAGAAATGATAATTTACTGACACATGGAGCACTGAGTCAACCAGCTTGGGGCTGGGTTTGGGAGTGGCAGCCAAGGTGTTCCCAGGAGATCCATTAAGTGGATTTAAGTGGAACCTGAAGGACTGTTAGGCATCCACGCCAAGCCACCCAGGTGGCAGCTAAGTGTCCCAAGTCTGAAGCTCAAACACAAGGTGAAGGCAGCACTGTGATTTTTAAGCATTAAGAAGTCATAAGAAAGGGGAACACTGTTGAGGAAGATTAGCCAGAGAGATGGCAGCAAAACGGGAAAATCCCAGAACCCAAGAGAAGAGGGTGTTTTCAGAAAGATAGAACATTTAATGGCATTAAATTCAACAGAGACAGGGGAAGCCGGAGAGGGAAGAAAGTGTCCATTGGATGGCAACATGGTGGCTCATGGCACCGTGTGGGACGGGATCAGAGGATTACGGGAATGTAAACCAGACTGAGGTGTTACAGAGCAAGTGAGTGGGGAAGTGACAAGTGGGGTCACAGAAGACAATCCTCTTGAAACGTCCTGTGAAGGGAGATCTGAGGGAGCCGAGAATGGCCTCAAGCAGGGGTTCATACTGATGAGCCCTAGAATCCTAGATGGACTAAATGAAAAACAAAGACGAAGTGATAGTGAGAAGCAGGGATGAGCAGATGCATCACCTCAGGAGGCCTGAAGGTCTTTTGCAGGGTCATTCCAGAGGGGTGAGCTGGAAAGATGGGAGGAGAAACTGAAGTGCAGAGGCTTGGAGTGGAGCTTTGGACGCGGCGTAGCTAGTAGTAAGGCAGGGCAGTTTTTCTCAGCCTGATATTTGGGGCTGGCTGCTTCTTTGCTGCGAGACTTTTCTGTGCATTGTTTAGCTACATCTCTACCCTCTACCCATGAGATTCCAGTAGTACTTCTGTGATGATGACAGCCAAAATGTTCACAGCTATTGTCACATGTCTCCTGAGAAGTCAAAATTATCCCCAATGACTATCCACCAGTGGTGACTTTTTCCCCTTCAATATGGGGGACTGAACGCAAGCCCTTTGCACTCAGCTACATCCTCATCCTTCTTTAATTTTGACTTTGAGACAGACTCTCACTAAGTCACTAAGTTGTCCAGGGTGGGCTTAAATTCAATCATCCTTCCTCAGCATCCCAAAGAGCTCAGACTACAAGCACATGTCACCACATCCAGCTAATAGTTTATTTCACTGAGCTGGGGAGATGGCTCAGTAGAATAAGCACTTGCCTGGCAAGCACAAGGGTCTGAGTTCAATTCCCAGTTCTGCCAAAAAATAGTTTATTTCACTTTCATACTGACCCTGAGAATGTGTGGTTGTTATGAATCAGATGTCACTGGGAATAACATTAGAAGCACGTGGTTTGTTGCCAGATAAACTTGGGTACATTAATCTCTCTGGATGCATTATTTTATCTGTAGAGTGGGATAGTAATGGTGTCTACCCTCTAGGATTAAATTATGTAAAACATGAAAAGTGCTATAAGTTAGTGCCTGTCATATGTTAGATGCTCAATAATTGTTAATTAAGACAAAGGATATGAAAATAGGAAGGATCAGTATGAGTCTGATCTATGTAATAAGACCCTGTAGACCCGGAGGAGGAGGGGGAGGAGGAGGGGGAAGAAGAGGAGGAAGAAGAAGAAGAAGAAGAAGAAGAAGAAGAAGAAGAAGAAGAAGAAGAAGAAGTATTACAAGGCTTAAAATTCCATCAGTATCATATTAATGA